ATTTGATCTACCCTGTTCCCTGAAAATAAGACCTCCCTGGATAATAAGCCCAATCGGGCTTTTGATGTGCATGTGCTAAAATAAGCCCTCCCCCCCCCGAAAATATTGCAACACAGCAGCAGCCATGAGGTGACCACGCTCGCCGCCTCCTGCACCTCAAAAATAATAAGACCTCCCCGAAAATAAGGCCAAGTGCTTATTTCAGGGTGGAGGGTGTCAAAAGAAAATTAGACCCTGTGTTATTTTCAGGGAAACACGGTAGATTCTACACAATGCTTTGCCTCTCATTTTTCAGAAAGGAGTCAAAGAAAGTAGTGCATTAATAGCACCTAAACCTATGGAATTCTGGCTCAAAATTCTGCCTTGCCTAATGTTTAACCCACCACTAATTCTAGATTTCTTCTGTGTTTTTTTCCCCCAGAATTCAGGAAAGAAAATTATAAATGAAAACAGCAACTCAAAGCTACTGGCTGGACCAGAAGCTCCTTTAAGAATTTAAAAGTACAAGAGAACTTTGTTTTCTTTTTTTTTAAGTGTCATCATTCCAGTTACCAAGAAGTTTTTGTAGACTTTTTTTCCCCCAACCTTGGGCCTATGTGAGCATACAAGACACGTAAGCTATAAATCCTATGCACGCTCATTTCATAAGGTTTACTGCCAGGTAAACAAGTATAGGGCTGCCTTGTAAAACTTCCTCTTTATTATCTTATAATATATGTATGATTTTTTTAAGGGAGGGTGCAGGTCAGCTTCTTCGTTCTTTTTTCTTATGAGATTGCTTATACTTCCCCCCACCCCCTTTAAGGATTTTATCCCTTTAAACAGTTTTGTTTCAATTGTATGATGATTTGAGATTTTTTAAAAAATAATAAGCTGAAAAATTAGAAGGTTGGCTTGCTGTTAAAACATGGAACAGAGAGCATATTTTTCCCCCTGGCACCAATATTTAAAATATGGAGTTAGGAAAGTGAGGAAGAGGCTACCCTTTCTCCACTACTGAGTTAATGTGCTGTCCATGACTCCTTGACTCCAGAGAAAACAATATTTTCCTTATTGGCTGTCCCCATTGCCAAGTTTTCTCCAGTTCCCCTCCCCCCCAGCTTTGTTCTTAGTCGTTGCCTTCCAAGATAATGAGTAACAAAACCTAACAGATTTTTTTTATACTTTGTGAGACTGCCAATTTGATGATGCCAAAATAAGGAGGAAAAAGAATGACATTAAAAAATCTTATGATGAAGGACAGCTAGGCCTGTTGCTCGGGGCTGAGATGAAGGCAAGCTCTGAGAGACAAGGCGGAAATTGCCCTTATGAAGGAATCATTATGTCATGATAAAACATNGAGTCAGGTAGAGCATTCCAGGCGTTGATCACTCTGTTGCTGAAGTTGTATTTTCAGTATTTTCTTCCGTCTCACATACTCATCAATCTGCATGATTGCCGAACTTTAACCTGAAGATTTAAGATCTAAAAAACAATCCTACTGCCTCCCCTCATATCCTGCTCCGTCCCTCCCCATCTGTTAAACTGCATCTTCACTTGGATTGTAATTCTACTTTTATGGTTTGTAGAAAGAGAAGAAAGAAAGAAAAAAAGAGTAGAAAGAAAGAAAAAGATTTGAGTGTCTCCTTTTTCTAAATCATGTTTTTCCTTAACCAATTTCCCTCCTTGCAGATTACAAAAACAATATCCTGAAGGATAAAGCTGAACAAAATAGGATTCTCCCTGCTAAGAATATTGACTTAGATAAAGGTGAGTGGGCAGCAAGACTAGATGGTGATTCTTACCCCCTGTCCCCGCCCCCCTTCAAATGTTAAATGTCCTATTGTTTCACTTCTGAGAAAATGTGTGTCACCCTCCTTGTTAGCAAAGAGAGGGGGATATTTGGAAACTGTTTGACGAAACTCAGCCTTGCAGAGTCGGTCCTTCCCCACAGTCTTTCATTAGCTCACCACCACTGACTGCCAAGGGCTTTATTACAAGCCGTTCACTGCGGGTGAGTCATTCTTTCCCTCCAGGAAAGGCCGATGGCACAAGATTCCCATGGGCCAACATTATCTTTGGGGGACCAGAGCTGCCTCTGTTTGCTCCAGGCCCAAGAAGTCTTTTTGCTACTTTACAATCCCTTTTGCTGTGTCGGACTCCTAATTTTCGAATGTAGATTGCATTCTAAGCAAATCCACACTTCGACCTTTGAAAAGGCTCTCCCTTCCAGGAAAACAGCACTTCAGAGCAGGATTCCGATTCCTGAATGAGCCTGGGCAGTGATAAAGAATGATGGGTCCAGTTGAAGTCCAGTATATTAATGGCTAGATATCATCTGCTCCTCTTCTTAGATCCATGATGGCAAACCTATGGCACATGCAATGCCCTCTCTGTGAGCACACGAACCATTGGCAACTGATCTTATGGTTTCCGGCGCGCATGCAGCTTGTGTTTGTGAGCACCGGAGCACCAGAAAACGGCCTGAAAACGGCCCCAAAAATGGCCCAAAACCTGGCCATTTTTCAGGCCATTTCCAGGCCATTTTTGGGCCAAAAAGTGGCCGAAAAAATGACCTGAAAAACAGCTTGAAAACAGCCTGAAAATGTCCAAAAAACAGGCATGTGATGAGTAAGTAGTAGCCAGTTGGTCTTTGGGTTTCCAGCCCTGTGGCATGTGCACGTGCACA